ATCATGGAATACCTTGATGACTTCATGTTTCGTATTAGTTACCATTTTCTTTTTTAGTGTAGATCATCAGATAAGAACTCCTAAAGATCACAGGTTACCCAAAGCAGGCACATTTCTGCGCCAACTGATTTGGAGCATTTACTGTTTTTATGTCTGTGTGAGGAGCTCGATGGCGCAGGTGGTTAGCGCATTCGGCTGCGATCGTTTAAGTTAAGCAACTTTCATAGTGGTCAGTCATTGGATGGGTGACAAAAGATCATCTATCTCGAGTTCCTCCGTGCTTCGGTAGGCACGTTAAGCTGTTGGTCCCGGCTGCATCTGCAGTCGTTAGCACCCGCCAATCTGCACTGGGGCCGCACGGTGGGTCGTGGCCCAATCTCCCTATTCCAGCCATAGGGAAGGCCTCTGCCCTAGCAGTGGGGATATTAATAGGCTGATGATGATGATGATGACGACTGTTTTTATTTACAATTCATAATCGATTGAAAAAAAAACATTTTGTTTTTACTTGATGTCTGACTGACTCTATAAAAGTGTGCGGTATAGAGATCGGTAATTATCCAAGAATAATATATAAAAGAACTAGTGACCCGCCCTCGCTTCGCTGCGGGGTAGAGCTGTAGTATTAGTCAAGTTTAATTAAGTATTTTAAGGTAGGCACGTATTCCGAAGAAATAATATAATCATACTCTTTTTTGTAGATATAGATATCCTTTATAAAACTTTAGTACATCACTTGGTTCTATTGTCAATTACTTTCGCAGCGTACGCGATTTAAGGTTATTTTTTGATATTTTTTTTACACTTTGGGTTACATTATCAAAATTTCATACGGAATCCCAACTTTTTTGAAAATACTCTATAGCCTATGTTCATCGTAGATAAGAATTATAAATGTGAAAGAATTTTTTAAATCGGTATATTAGTTTCTGAGGCTATTCACTATAAACAAGCAAACAATCAAATCTTTCCTCTTTATAATATAAGTATAGACAGAAATATAACGGTCTACAAAAAAGTTAGACACTGTTTTGAACCTTGATTAGGCAATTAAATAATTATGACATAAAAAACTGTCATAAATATGACAGTTTTTCTTAAACTCGTGTTGAAAGCATGTCTAACTTTTTTGTGGTAATAAAGTAAGTAACTAAGTGGATAGACAAAAGTCCAAAATGGCCAACTCACTTGTAGTAATTCCTGGTGAACTTGTCACAATCGCAAATGAGAAACCTGCGCCCGAGCACGAAGATAGTCTCGCCGACGATCAAGTCCTTAGGAGAGTAGTACTCGGTGACTTCAGCTTCAGTCGTCTCCAGCACAGTTGATGGAAATGAAACTTTGAAAAAAAAAGCTAATGAATTCAACAAAAAATATGAAACGTCAAATAAATAAATAAAGTTTTCGTGCATTAACCCGTAAAAACTAGTTTTATTTAAAAAATATGAAGTCAATATGCTTGGCCACAATACAGAAAGCACATATACGTACGCTAGCCAAACCGAACACTTGAAAAATCTCCTTCGTTAAAAGTGGCTTCTTATTTTTTATCAGTAAAATGAAAAATACCTATTTTTCTTATATATTACTAAACAAATACTGAATTAAACAACTGGATTAGCGGGCTGGATTCCGAGTTAACAATAGATCGTGACAGAACTTGAAAATTAACTGTCTAGACTTTAGAGTAATTGTTCCTTTGACTGATAAACTCTAGTAACTTATACGAATAGGTATATTGCAGCTTTTTTCTTAGTTTAAAGATAATTATGAGATTATTAAACCATAACAATTAATTTCTTATATACCTATGATTATATACCTATAATGAAAATATTGTAAACATGCAGTCATCAACTATTAAATTAAACACAATATAGGTATATAAAAAAAACTATCACAGTAAAATGAAATAAATAATAACGTTTCAGCTAAGACTAGTAATACTCACTCGCTTGGCCCTGTTTTCAGGTACGTATATTAAACCTTCCGTGAAAAATTACTTAACCGCATGAAAATTTAATCAGCAGTTTTTTCTTTTGAATAGTTAAGAATTTAAATGTTTCGGCGGATGGAGTTATTAATTTAACATTAGTTTTTAATTTGCTTTTTAATGTGTAATTTTCATTTAATTTTCATTACGTTATTCACCCACTTCCAGTTCCGCTTTTAACATATTTAAATTCAGTGCTAGGTTAATTAAGACATTTATATGTTACTCTACACCATTGTACAGAATCGAAAGCTTGATCTCAGACAGGGAACTTTACTAATTTCATTAAGAACTAAAGCACCATTAACAGAGCTAGATCGGCGAATAGCAAATTGGAAATTCCAACATAGCAACATATCACAGATCAAAGAGTCCAAGAATGTTAAATTTTTAATTCAACTTACAGAGTACTTGAATAAAGCTTTGTTTCCTTTTGCATATTTAACTTTTCAAATTGCATTTCGATGTTCCACTTTGTTCGCGGACGCTCCGATGCACAAGATAATCCCCATAGGGCTCTGATTTTGGAAGCGATGGAATACTTTATGCTTACGTGGAAATTTAAGACTACTTGTGTAAGCTGTGAAATTGCATTCAGAATTATTGAAAATTATAAAGATATTCTGGAAAGTTGAATAAATACTGTATAGGTACTTCGTCAAATAGATCTCAGAACTGACTAATTATTGTTCTATAACTAAGCCTGGTATTGTAAATATTAATTAAAATAAAGTATACTGAGGTAATATACAAGGAGGAGGTAAGATAAAAATTAAAACTGTTTTATATGTTTTTTCCTTTATTTATTAGAGAAAATGTTTCAACTAAATATTATCCATCTGATATCGTATTATACCAATACATTGAAATTGTTTTAGGATTAATATCGTTTTGAAATTGCGGATAACATTTCTATTTGATGGTAGCAATTTCTTGACAGATAAGCATTGTTTAATTGAAATTAACTCTGTCATGTGGATCAAATAAATAAATTGAATTATACACATCATTTACCAAATAAAAATATAGTATTCTAACATAAAAACATAGATTGCAAAGGAACATATAAACATAAACGACTAAGTTCTTAAACATTTTTTTTTACTTTGCCGTAGTCGAGGAAAAAGTTCGCATCTATGGGTTGATAAAGATATTATTATCAGCGCTTCCAGATTGCACTGCCTAATGTAAAATAGTCATAATTGCCGGACCATCCTAATTCTGATTGAATCATTAGGCACATAGCGCACTAGACGGTAACGATCACGACTAATCGTGTCCGTGGCTGCAGCCTTGGTCGTAGAAGTTACGGTTGGGCTGCGGCCAAGTTTGCGGCCACGTCCACGACTGGTCGTAAAGCGGCCATTTGTCGAGCAGCCGTAGTTGTTGTTCTGAGGTCGAACAGTATGAATATAAATAATTCTGTATCAAAACACATTGCCGAATAAAACGTCGTCGTCTTGAGTTGCGGAACGATACGAAGCGAGACCGCTCATAGCAAACTATACGTAAGATGCTTGCAACGACCAGTCGTGTCGGCCCTGTGTGAGGCCAGTTGGCCGTTGCGGCCAAGTAGGCGCCGTTCATATGGTTTCTGTAGTTAATCTGGTCATTGCTATTACTGGTCGTGATCGTGGCCATCTAGTACGCGAGGTGCTTTACTTTTTTATGCTAAAAGGGTGGCAAACGAGTACATATAAGGCTTGCCTGACGGTCAGCGGCCACAAAAGCCAATATATACCGAAAATATTACCCTGACCCCATTCCCTATCCCGTGGAACCCTGAAACCTTACTTGGCGACAGAAACACAACACCAACAAAAGGTAAAGTTCTGTATAGTGGGGGAAAGGTCACAGATCGTTACACCTACCCGGCATCCGACCAGCACCACCTCAACTCGTATGGTTGATATTCTTAGTAGGAATTTCTCTGGGTTAAGGTACGCTCACTACATTAACTCTGTACCGTCACCGGATCGCCTCGCTCGCACGCTTGCCGTATGCTGGCCGCTGTATAAACGCACGGCTCCGGAATGGACCGCGCGCTGCTTGCGAGTTGACAATGCGGATATAACCTACTTATTTTCGCTGACAACGCCGAGTCAACTACACGGCGGCGCGTAGCGTTCATCCATCAACCACTTGACATTCACTGCTTGTCAACGAGGTGTCCACCCATGGCAAACCCGATGTTGGCTGGTTAACCACCTGAGTATGCTCATCGACCACGAGTGGACGTTGTGCGACGAAGCGGTGCCGGGAGGCTCTAATGAGCTGTGACCTTTACTTCCTCAGACGGACAGTTCAATTTGAACGAAAAATTTGCAATGCCCCACGTCTCTTACTTACTTGTCAAAGAATTCGATATTTTCCCACCCTGAGGAGCAGATCGCATGTAGGACCTATTTTTTATATCGGAATTTCCCCGCGACGATTGTAACAAACGCCATTGAGGACCATTAAGGGATTTTGCCGATCGCTGAGTTTTCCTCTACGTGTAAAGAGCCTTGATTGCTCTATATAAAGTAATAGGAAAAAAATATAACATACTATCGACCCGCCTGGTTACGCTCGAGTAAAATAAATTGATGAAAGAAAAATAACAAATTCCAGATATTAATACTCATCCGTAAAATAAGCACCCGTTTCTCGAATTTATATTGGAGTTAGAGAGAATTTTCAATAAAAGGGGTAAAACTGTTACCGTGAAATAAAAAACACAACATAAAATCTATGTCCGACTATAATCGCCGAAACTGGCCCTAGATTTTTTTTATTTTATAAAATTTTATAAAAGTGAGCAGGTTATTTGCTCAGTATATCAGTTAGCAGGCTAATTGCACAGGATCTTGAAATTTTTTCAATCTAATTTTCAGGATCCTGCGAGAATGATGAAACTATCATAATCGTGATGTGTTGTGTTGTTGACCACACGGGCGAAACCGCGTTCTCAAAGCTAGTGCAATAAAATCTATACATTTTGATACTCCATTGTCTACACTTGTCACTATTTATTTGGAAATTGAAAAATAAGAAAATGAAAAAAAAATGTCTTACCGGGCTTTTCATTCCATTTCTTTGAGAGCTTCGTTTTCTTAAGTAACAAAGGAAAGGGGTCTTTTCCACCTCGATCATCATGAAGTTCCTGGAAATTAAACACGACGCTTTAATAGAGTAGTACCTACTCACTTTCTCGTTCACCTAATGTACAATCAACAGCAAGTCGGGCTACACAAAACTGTAAATTTTCATATGAAATGACTATTTGGCACGCGTTGTTTAGAATAGTAAACTTTTGGTTAAGAAGTTTATAATATTTAGTTTGTTATACCTTGTCCAGTCATAAGTTCTGTTGCAAATGAAAATGCATTTTATTTAATGAAGTAATGTAATATTATTAAAATTTATACCTACATATTTATTAGTCTCAGCAAAACATAAAAAATAAACTATTCGAAATTGCCACCTTTGGGCTTTTATACAGGCCTTTAAGCTGTTTGGCCACGAAACTATGGATTTACGCACTGTTTCCAAGGGAAATGTCGCCACTGCTTGCTCCAAAGATTTTTTAAGAGACTCAATGTCGCCGTGTTGTTTAGAGCAGGCCATGTCCTCTAAAACTGACCATAATTTGAAGTCTAAATGGTTGAGGTCTGGGCCAGATGAGGGCCCGTCTTCAGCTCTTATAAAGTCCGGAACGTTGGTTTCAAGCCAGGCTTGGGTAGCTAGTGCCTTGTGACCAGGGTATTGCTGACAGGTTTCACAACATGATCCAGGACTGTATCTTGATACATTTTGGCTAAGGTTTTCACTTCCTTTTCACAAAAATGTAGTTTGGTTTCTCCTTGATAAGACACGCCCCACCAAACGTTCGCGACGCAGGATGATGACCACGTTGTACCTTTCCAACCACTTGAGCAGCTTCTTTAAAACAGTGAGTGTACACTTTATCATTTTGCTTATTGTAGTGTTCTTCAATCGTGAAAATTTTTTCAGCGGTAAATAGGATATTTCTTTGCTTTTCACCTACGTATCGCGACAGAAGGCGTTTTGATCGATTCACTCTCTTTAATTGTAGAAATTGAATTAGAGCATGTCCTGTATATCGACGATAATAACCGAGCTTCAGGTCTTGTTTTATAACACGCGACAGAGTCCTAGCAGGAATCTTCATTTCTCGCGATAACATTTTTTGCTTCCCAATGGGGTTTCGACGAATTCTGGCTTTAACAGCATTAACAGCCTTTGTAGTTCTAACAGAACGCGGCTGCCCCGATCTTTTCTGGTCTTCGATAGACGAAGTGTTGTTGTATCTGTTGATAGTACGATATACGAACATACGGCTGATACCAAGCCTTTGAAGTGTCTGGAATATGACCGACGGCTCCATACCTACTTTTTGCAAGGCGATCACTGCAATCCTATATTCTTTAACACCCCATTCCATATTGTAATTTAATAATGAACACGAAAAAATGTGAAATGGCACAAAATCGAAAGAAGTTTTTAAAATAATATACGTGTTCCAAATTCATAATTTAACAGTATTTATGGCTAAACTAGTTATACATTTATTGTAGCCAACCTTTTTGAAAGGTTCCGTTTTAATAGTTTTTTGTAAGTGTTTTTAAAGTATTGACATATTTATGATTTTTTCTATCAAAATTGTTATTGTGTTCACAATGTCTTTGTGTTAGTCATCTGCTTATTAATATTATTTTGTGAATTGCTTTTAAAATAGTGTAAATAAACCCATTGCATCCAAAATCCTAGCCTTCATTTTCCATCCTACGAGCTCTCCGTTTCATATATTATTATATATATTTTTATTCTTTAAGCATTTAACTGCTAGTTTTTTATGTTTAAATCTAAAGAAATATATATCAGTGCATCCGCCTGTTGTTTTCACATTTTTTTTGTAAAATTGTGGGGAAAAAATCTAAGTCATGCAGCATCAAGGTGGCATAAATTACGTACACACTTAGTTTCCCTGGATACTTTTGTGTCGTTTTCATGCTGATTAGTTTTTAACGGGAGAGCATTTGCTTTCGACGCGCAATCGGTTGCAAGTTGCAATTTCGCTGATATACGAAAACAGAATACGATACCTCGGAGGTTAAGTCCGTTAAATCTTTCAGTATAAAATTTGCTTATTGACAACGGAGGTCGAACGTAATTCATTATCGTACGAACATTAATTGTAATTAATAGCAAACAAACTTTCGTATTTTCATTATCGTTCGGAGTCGAAGGCGGCGGGCGGGCCTTGGACACAAAGAATTTTCATTGAGCCCCATAATTGGGGCCGGGGCGCTGTTACGCCGGGTATACGATAAATATTCATTGGCCGAAACTCCACGGTTCCGCGTGTTACAAAATTAAAGTGGAAAATTTCATAGTCCAATTAGGTATTATGTAATGTTACTAATGATTGTAATATTTTCTGATTCTGATTTTATATTAAGTGCGAAAAAGGGAAGGTGTTTTACTCGGAACTCGTAAAGTCGTAAATTTTTTCTTAAAGGCGAGTAAGTAGTTTGTTCATTTTATAGTTTGACGACTTCCGTGGCCGAGTGGTTTGTACGTCGGGTTTCATGGTGTCGCCGACTCGAGAGGTCCCGGGTTCGAATCCCGGTGGGGGGCAGATGTTTGTGTGATGAATACGAGCATTTGTACTCCAGCCATGGATGTTTAATATGTATTTCTATATAAATATACTTATATATGTACAGTAAATGTATTCTAACCGTTACCCTAGCATCCCATAACACAAGCCTTACAGTGCTTACTTTGGGGCTAGGCTAATTGGTGTGAGTGTTGGAAATATTTATAAATTTATTATTTATTTATAAGAGAAAGTGGTTGATGACCCAAAAGATAGTTTTTTTGTAATAGTCGCATTTTTTTTCATAACTACTACGAGATCACTTACAAAACTTGATATATTTTAAAAATTTAACTTAATCAAGAGAAAATGTTTACGTTATATCTCTTTTATTTAAAAATACACTGAAATTAAAAAATAAAACTTATTTTATTTTGTAGTATATAAAATTTAAATTTCAATCCTAAGGCGATTGTAATAGAAATTTAATAGAAAAAAAAAGATAGTTTAACCAAACTTAAAAACCTTTCATTAATAAATTGTTTTTATCTAATACAAAATAACTATTTACCGTTCCAGTTGCCTTTCTTTGCCTTTCAGAGTCTCCAGGTCTTCTCCAAACACGGACACGTCGGTTATCTGGATGAGTACTGATTCTCGATTTGTCAACGAAGAGGCACGTTTTGCCAAATGTATCCCTCTTCGTCTTCTTCGTTTTGCCGGAGCTTAGCCCACTGTAATCTCCGCCACTGACGTTCCCGTGAATTCAAAGGTGCTCGCCAAGACCTCCGTGCTCGTAATCTAGCCTTGTGTAAGCAATGCCGAATGGTCTAAGTGCTAACTTGAAGTCCGAAGGCGGCCTTATTATTAAGGTATTTCTGCTTTTAAATTAGTGGCGTTTATTATTGGGTCGCGGGCTACCAGCAACCTGATGTAGCGCTTCTGAGCAGCTGTCAAAACAGTTGGGCGACCGCTGCGGGGTCGATCAGCTAAATTACCCCGTGCCGTGGTACCTTTGCAACGTGGTTACTAAACAGGATTGGGATATGGCAACTCTGCGTGCATTTCTCTCGTAGAATAGCCTTCTTCCCACAAAGTTACAATTCTGGCTCGTAAAATGTCTGATAATCCTCGTGGCATTTTTAAATCACTACTTTCCGTGAAAAAATATTTTGAATTCGATAATATTGACTAAGTCAGATTTCTGAATGAGGGTCAGCTTGGATTGCATGTCTTTTTATATGGAAAAACAATTGAATTATTTCATTGTTTTATGTTCTGATTCTAATTTTAAAATTAGGAATCTTATTAGAAAAGGAAATTACAAAAAAGACTTAATACAAAACACAATCTATTTTTCAAAGTGATCGCAAACTTTTTTTTAGTATACACCATACAGGGCGTCCCACGGGTACCTCACACGGAGGGAAAGTATGTTAAATATTGAAGATAGGATATTTTACCGAAAGAAGACATCATTCTATTTTCAATTATAACTAGAATTGCATTCACAGTTTTTTTTAAATCGCCTGCTAAAACGGGGAATCAAACATGTGAAATTTCGAAAAAAACTCGACATGTTTTATGATAACCATCGAAAGAGTTAATCATAACAATTACTTTTTGCTAAATAACATAGCATTTTAAATGAAAGAAAAGTCATAAAATTACACATTTTATTAAAAATTATTAAACAAAAAGTAATAAAAAATGAAACGGTGCCAGAATAAACACTAATTTAATGTATCAAATGTTCAAAATGTGATCCGATTTGTTGTATGCTAATTCTCACTCTCCTCATAAACCTCATAAAAATTCTCCTAATGTCTTTAAAATATAATAGCAATGCATTTTCTTGGTATAGCATACTCACCTTGACAGCGATTGTGTCATCTTGTAAGAAGTACAAAAGCTTGTAAGGTCGCAGTTCACCATTTTCGGAGTCGCGATCGTCCCACACCACGTTGAATCTACAAAAGAAAACGAGTGTCACTTAAAATTATTCATCAAGTGTAATATGGAATCATTATCAACATGACTCCATTAATATCCCCACTACTGCGTCATAGGAATATGGACAACGAGGTGTAAGGTAGTTGTTCTATCGCCGGCGGGGAAGCGACTAAGTATCGGCTATTTGCTCGCTTAAGAAACGTACAATAGATATACGAACGTGTAATGTAATGTAAAGTAGTCGTTGGTGTTGTTTATTGCCCCCCCACAGTTGATTATTTCACCGAACTCGAAGCGGTTTTAGAATCTTTGGGATCTGAGTATGCACATTTGATCATCATGGGCGATTTTAATACCAATCTCCTATCTCCCGAATCCCCACGGTCCCGAAAACTCCTTCACATTGTCCAGTCCGCAAGCCTACATGTTTTGCCCCTTCAACCAACTCACCTAAATACTTACGGTGATGATACATGGCTTGATTCAATCCTAACCTCTAATCCTTCCCTTGTTCCATCCCATGGTCAACATATCGCTCCTGGCTTCTCTCATCATGACCTCATCTTCCTTTCGTATCTCTTTAAACCCCCCAAATCCACTCCCAAGGTTTTGCACAGGCGCTCCTACGCACGTATGGACTTAGTTAAACTGCAGAAGCATGTCTCTGAGATCAACTGGGACTCTCTGATTCTAGCTTTCACTGTTGATGACAAAGTAAAAATATTTAATGACACTGTGCTTAGAATTTACGATGTCCATGCGCCCATCAGAAAAGTCAGGCTGAAGCGGCAACCAGCCCCTTGGATGACTGAAGGTGTTCAGATGGCGATGAGGCGTAGGGACCGTACATATCGCAGCTACAGAAGGGATCGTTCTGATGAAAAGAGGAAGCTTTACAAGGCTGCTAGAAATCGTTGTAATCAGATGATACGTAATGCCAAACGCCGACACATTCTCAACAACCTTTCTTCTTCATCTTCTGCTGATATCTGGAAGTTCCTCGGAACGCTAGGTATCGGCAAATCGCGACATTTAGACCTGTCTAATTCTATAAACCTTAACGATCTCAATCGACATTTCACAACCTCTCAGAAATTGGATCGTTCATCTACAGCATCCACCGTTGCTTCTATAAATGGTTTAACGCGCCCTAATGTTGACCCTTTCTATTTTTCACCAGTCACTCCGGCAGAGATCAAAAAGATAATACTTTCAATTAAATCCAATGCAACGGGATGTGATGATATTAGTCGTCGCATGATCGTCACTATTCTTGAATATCTTCTTCCCGCTATAACACACATTATCAATTTCTCCCTTGACACTGGTACTTTCCCTATTCTATGGCGTAAAGCCTATCTCCGGCCTCTTCCCAAAGTTAATAATCCAACGCAGCCTAATCAGTTTCGACCAATTTCCATCTTCCCCTTCATGTCAAAAGTGCTAGAAGCATGCGTTCACAAGCAATTCTCCCAATTTATTCATAAAAACTCTCTAATGAACCCTCTCCAATCTGGATTTAGGCCTGGACATAGCACTATTTCCGCCCTCCTTAAAGTAACTGGCGATGTTAGGGCGGGGATGGAGAACGGTAAAGTTACTTGCTTGGTTCTTATCGATTTTTCAAACGCTTTTAATACTGTCAGTCACGATATTCTCCTTTCCATATTATCCTATCTTATGGTCTCTGACGAAGTGTTGACTTGGTTTTCATCTTATCTTCGGGACCGCCAGCAGTTGGTGCAGTCTGGGGAATCATCCTCATCCTGGCTCAATTTGAAAACTGGTGTTCCCCAAGGCGGTATTATTTCTCCTCTTCTTTTTTCAACTTTTATTGATTTTATAACTCACAAACTTCAGTGTTCGTATCATCTATATGCTGATGACCTACAACTCTACACCGAAGCAAGTATTGATGATTTAAACAATGCCATTGAGGCGATAAACAGTGACTTAAAGGCTATCAAAACATGGTCAGACAATTTTGGTGTCACTGTCAATGCTGCTAAATGTCAAGCTATTTTAATAGGTGGATCAAGAATGATGAGCAGAATTGACAGAAACATTCTTGGGTCTATATTCTATGACGGTACTTTGATACCTTTTAGTAATGTTGAAAAAAATCTTTGGTTTGTATGTTGACTCAAATTTCAAATGGCAGGATCAGGTAGGTAGTGTCTGTCAAAAGGTAACTGGAACATTGCGTGCTCTCTACCGCTTGAAAAATTTTTTGCCTATCAACATCAAGGCAATGCTTGTGCAAACTTTGATTTTTCCTATAATCGACTATGGTGATGTGTGCTACCTCGATCTGAATGCAGATCTACTCAATAAACTTGATCGACTTCAGAATAACTGCATTCGATTTGTTTTCAATCTTAGAAAATATGACCATGTGTCCGCATACCGATCTCTTCTAAAATGGATGCCTATTAGGCAGCGCAGAAGTATGCGGGCTCTGACCACTCTGTTCTCCTTGCTGGATTCTCCAAATGCCCCTTTCTATCTCACTTCCCAATTTCAGTACTTATGTACCGCTCATTCTAAAAATCTTCGATCCTCTTCTAATCGCTTACTTATTGTTCCATCTCATCGCTCTGATACGATTCACTCATCCTTCTTCGTCAAAACCATACTTCTGTGGAACAAACTCCCTCTAGATATCAGAATGTCCACCAACAAAATCAGCTTCAAAACCAAGCTACGAAGCTTTTTACAAGAACAAGCAGTCTAGCCTAAACGTTAGTCGTCATTATTATGTATTTATTTAGTATATATGTTTATATGTGTGAATATATATGTATGTTTATTTATATGTAAGTACTTATTTATGTATGTGTAATTATGTATATGACTACTTCGTATTTATATCTGTTCGTCTTTTTTTTTCCATCTAATTTGTGCACCCTACCACTATTTATCCACAACACCCTATGGTTGACTGGTAGAGAATGCCTATGGCATTAAGTCCGCCTTTGTACAGTTGTGCATTAAGTATAAATAAATAAATAATGTAAACGAAAGAGATGCATATATTATCGCCGACTGTACACACTACCGGCGAGACCTCTCTCCACTAGTGTGTGAGCGGAGCGACAAGAGCTATCAAAGATAAAACTCGTTCAGCGATACTGCCTCAGCAAAGCTCGCTTGTGTTAAAACATGCGCGCGTGCATTTTTCAAAAAAAAAAATTTTTTTTTTGCTAATTGTTAAATTAAAAGTTTAATAATTATTTAAGAAAATGGATGAAAATTGACCTGGGGAGACTTGTTTTCGAAACCGCGTATAAAATTAAGTTTTTTTTGAAATGTAGCTCTTTGGACCTGTATGTATGTAGACCAAAGAGCTACATTTCAAAGTTTTCCTCAAAAGTTATAACTAGCTAAAAGAAAATCTATTTAAGTAATAGTTTTGAAGTGGGAACCGAACCCTTTCCACGCGAGTTGAACTCGCACTTAACCGGTTTTTTTATAATAGTTTCTGAAGCTACCTTGTCTGTTTGTTTGTTTCTGCAGGAATTTACAGCTGGCCCATTAAATTTATTACTCTTGCTATAGCACTGGAAGCTCAAACTCTTTATTTACAAACCGCCGCATAGACCGCAGCCGCATAGACTAGACTGAATCTACTCCTCATTTTAAACTGTTCCTACTATACTAATTGGTTTTCTGCATACTATGGTATTTCAAGACATTTTTGTACCTAGTATAATCAATCACCATGAACCCTTGAAATCCGTTTTGCTCTAAAGGGCCATTTACATGATGCAAGTTTCTTGCCTGTAGCATACAATTAAATGGAATCAATAAATGCACATCACTTTCTTGATCAAGTTTTCTTTCAAAACTTTTCTTGGTGTAAACAGCACATACAATAATTGCACTTCTATTCAAAAACGTTCAATACTTAAATAAAAATGTCACCAACGCAAATACGTGTGCAATTCTTGTAGCAATTCTCCAATAAATGGAACACGTACATACAAGCCTATGTTTAGACATGTTAATACTTGAAAGGAATAATTAGGCATGTGCCATTATTTTTTTGGCAAAATTGGCATTCAATAATTGTATGCAACCTTTTTTATATGTCCGCGTGTTGCTTACAGTTATAGTTGCTTACAATTCATGAAAGTCAATTATTGCGCCTCATTTATTGTATTCAATTATTGCTCTTGTATGTACAAGAAAATTGCATCGTGTGAATGAGTCTTAACATATGTAATTGTATTGGTGTAAACAAAAGACATTTGCAATTCTTTCTTGTGAAAGCTGGCATTCAATAATTGTTTGTATCCATTTAACTACGTCCGCGTGTAAACAGTTGCTTACAATTCTTGAAGGTCAATTATTGCACCCCATTTATTGTATACAAGTATTGCTCTTGTCTTTATTCAGCTTAAGCTTGCCTGCTTGATAAGTAGCGGTGTACTGTAATTATTGAAAAAGTTAAGAAGGTGCCAACAAAAAACATTATAGGTACAATAGAATCCCTCCTCACGTCAACAGTTTAACACTTAAAATGAGGCAATCGTGTTCCGGAGGCAGTGCGGAAATTTAGGGATTTATAAACTTTAACTTCGGCCGGAGTAGCCTGTTTATTATAACGAGCGGAGATAAGATAACGAGCTGTTAAATAAGTAATGCTCTACTCGGAGAAACGTGACGGAGTGAAGTTCATTGCAGATTTGCCAGCGGATTGCGTTTTGAGTAACGGCATGCCAGCGCATTGGGTCACCCACTTAATGTTATTTATCTTCCTCTATGCGTAAAATTTAAAGTCCTCTTAAGTTTTTTGTTTTTGAAGAAGTGTGGCGCCAGTGTGTGTCACCAAATCTTAAAAATATAAAATGGGCGTTATTCTATTTATGATTTATATAATTGATAATTTAGTATTTAAGTATATCTGTAAAATATCAGTCAGGTATATTCTGTTTCACGATTCAACCCAGCTTCCTCTAATTGGCTAAAGAGCAGAATATTCAATGTTGTAGTGAAACTAAATGGATTCCTGATG